TGACCAAATATTTCTATGTTTGTAAAAGGCCGAATATCGCTTTTGTTTTGTGCGATTGAGGAAATCATAAAACGATTTAATGATCGCTTACGAGTACAAAATTTACGAATTCGCCGTGAAGATCGCTGTTTGCGACGATAAACAGGATTAGCTTGCAAAATTTGGGATCTACGCTTTGCGTACTCCTGTACCCGCAAATGGTATGGGTTAAAAGGTTTGGTTTCTGATATGTCTGGTTGAAAGGTAGGCAAAATGGAATGAACATCATTTGCCACAAAATCTGGTTCTGTTGGTATTTTCGAAGCTAGCGGCGGACATCCGTTTTCTTCGCGTAACGAATGTCCTTCTTGGGGTTTTCCGAAACCGAATTACATTTTGCACAGTTGGGCTTATACACCTCCGGTGTTCCACAACCATAACAAAAAATACGACGAGGTTTAAGGCAATTGTGGTAACTGTGGCCTGTTTCCTCACAGTTCCAGCACTTAATTTTCTCAGCCGTTTTAACTACACAAATTTCATCCTCGACATCGTGTTCTTCCTCCGACTGAGATTCTGAATCTTCTTCCTGCAGAATTGCGTTAACGAAACGCTTGCTTGGGTTCGAACGTTGAATGGGCTTCATTCGGGTGTTAAGAAAGAATTCTTCGTGCCTGTGACACTCCTTTCGCAATGTTGCTAAGTTTGGGGTGTCAATGTGCAATAATTCGTGCTTGATCTCCGGTCTGAGATTATGACGAACTTCTACCGCAATTTCACTGTCCTGCATTGGTTCACGAAGGGAATCTGCGATGGAAAGCATTGCATCCAAAAAGTCATCAAAATTTTCCGTGTTACCCTGTTTGCGTCTACGCATGGCACATTTAATCTCACGATCAGATCTCTGATCTTGATATCTTTCCTTTAAACGCCTGCAAAGCAAGTTCCAATTCATGTTATCTGCCGATCTATGAACGCGCCAGTAAAAGGCTAATGCAGGGCCTGCGAACAGTAAGTTAGCAAAATGGGAGAGAAGTTCAAAGTTGCCGTTCAGGCATTGTGAAGTGAGGCAATTGACACGGTAAATAAAATCTTCTATAGCAATGTCGTTAGCTGAACCACTAAATTTAATACGCCAATTGGATATAATATTCGAAATTCTGTCTGGTCGATCCAGAGAGAGATCACTTCGATCACTGCGAAAATCTGGTGAATTCCTAGCCTGTTGAATGTTGTTTCGATCTGAGTTGGCATCGGAACCGTCTCGACTGAAATCTCGCTGCGGCTCACCTTGTCCATTATTGGCAAATGTGGACCTATTCAATTGTGTGAACGCCAAAGTTATTTGTTCTGTAACTGACTGCAGCATGTTAGCTTGGAAGGTCTGCATTGACTTCTGAATCAATTTTTCCACGTGATCTTCCGTTACCACCCTCGAGTCTGAGTTACCCTCGCTACGAATTTCCTGCAGTGAATTTTGCTCAGAACCACCGTTTTGCTTTGCCGCATTTCGCGACGCTGAACGTGTCTGTACCTTGTGTCCCTGAGATCTACTAAGAGGAGCCGAATGAGGTCCTACCTCGGGTTGAGAGAAAGTTTGGCCACACCTGGGGCATTTGTCGTTGTTCTTGCTATAATTGTCAAGGCAAAGCTTGTGGAAAGAATGCTTGCAACGGGCTTCAAGTAAATCCAGATTACACACTGGTCCGTTGCAGATGATGCAATTTGCAGACTCATCAGTCTGAAGATCTACTAAATTTTCATTGCTGTGTGTCAACATTTTTGACGCTTTTCGAAATATAAAACAAAAAAACGAAATGAGATACGGTAAGATAAGATAAGATACGATATAACGAAAACAAACTGGTCGTTCGAGATGAATACGATATACGATAAATGAGAAATGCAGTTTAGGTCTTACCCTGGGTAGTATAGCAATTGGTTGTGTCATTCAATAGGTACAAATGTTGTAAACGGAATGTAAATAAAGGGTAGTAAAATAAATATCAATTTATTTTGTCTTACCAATTAGAAGAGTAACTAGCCGAATCTATCCAGCCAGATAAAATCTCGATCCTAACTGATAAGAAGGTAGTGTTTGAATATTGAAATCCTGGTATAGAACCGACTTTGAATCAGAACTATAATTCCAAGGAATCAATTACTCAAATTGGAATGTTCTTTTAACTATAATGTTCGATTATTACCGAACTGATAGAAAAAAACAGTTAAAAGTATTACATTTCCTCCGGTATGGCTCCGAACCTATCCAGATGCCATCAATTCCAGGACAGAATTTGAAATACTAAACGGAAACTAGAAGTGGATGGTTTGAATATTAACGGGAAGCTCGGCTGTCAAACGACAGGTGCCTAATCAGGCATCGGGCTGGCCTTAACGTTTGGGCGCCAATTAATTATGTAACAAACACACTCACCGAGCGTTGTCCACCTCAACACGCTCTGTCTACTTTTTCTGCTCGGCAGGCTCAGGGAAAATGGGCGTGGGTTTTGTGTTGACATGAACAATGGTGCTACATAACTAATATTGTAGACAGAGATACTCTAGCTGGGGATATGGTAAATAATATGAATCAGACGAAGGAAGTGTACCTATTGAAGATGAGGCTCCGATGTTATTGGCCTCAATCTAAACCCTCCCAACCTGTGAAGTCCATTCAGGCTCCACCCTTATACAACCAATGCTCTACATCCCCTTAGGTGCCCAACAAGATATCAAATTAGTTCATTTTCAAAGTCATATAATTGCAGGCTGAGATAATATTGAAAGACATTTTCCTAAATCTAATCCTTAAGCCTAAGTTTACGTTATTTACGTTACGAGACCTCTTATCGAGTCAGTTTGTTTTAGATCCAATGAAAGGAAATAAAATTTAAGATAAGAAAGAACGCTTTTTCCTTTTTTACTTTACATTAAATAGATTAACTTATTAATATTCTTTTGAATCAATTAATTAATTAAGATGTGCAAACTATTTCAGAAGTCTTGGCGAAATTATAAGGATGGGTTCAGTTTTATTTTGTTGTTTTGCGGCTAGGCCGTACTCACGCTTTCTCCATCGACGTCAGCAGGCCTGATGACTGATGATGTGTAGCTGTATGTGTTTTAAGTTATTTGAGGGACAAAACGATATTATAATTGCCAAATCTCCCAAAAAAAAATTGCTAAATTACGACCGAAAAGGTTTATAAGTACGAATTCTTAAATCAAAAGCTCCTATATGCAAAATTAATTATATTTTAGACACTATCATTCATGTTTATCCGCTCCTGGAGCAGAGTGTGGGCCGGATCAGCCACCAGCTCTCAATACGGATATGTAATGCTACTTCCGTCGTTCGCGCTGATGAAGATGACACGCACTATGTGCGACAGGGATGGCCGCAATCCCTTGCGTGAGGCGTGAGCGGAACGAGACCAGCCCGCCAAGGTGTGGGTGCGGCAGAGCGCACGCGATGTGGCAAAGATGCACGGCGATGTGGCAAAGAACGATGTGGCCACGAAAAAGACACACGGCGATCCAATAGGTGCGCCGAAGAAAAGCACGGTGATCCAATATGTGCACCGTGTGAGGGAACGGCGATCCAATATGCGCGCCGTGTGAGGGAACGGTGACACGTTAGCGAGGCGGTAAAGAAAATCCAAATCGAGGATCACCGCAATCGGCACGTGTATGGCCGCCGAAATGGGAAGCGCAGCCCCACGCTGTGCGTGCGAATGCTCCGATGACACGTGGCGTTGATCCCGCTGAGAAGCCACAGACAATGCCAACGATGAATGCCACAAATGACTGCCACCTCACGTGGTGGGCAATTGCTGGCAAAAACAATGCCGGTCGCTTGGACGACTCTGCCGATACGGCTGACGCTGTTTTGAAAAGGCAAAATTAGCACTCCGGCGATCGATTATTCACACAAGCTTACCAATATACGTTAGAGCACTAAATTTACTTAATATGGGTATGATTCGCTTTAACAAATACTGTCGGATCGACACGATGCTTGCGGTTTTAGGATCGACAAAAATTAATCCGAACTCGGGGACGCCTTGTGAGAAAGAGAACGGAAGTGAGGGGATCCAATGTGACCGTGGCTTGCAAAAATCCTGTTCGCGAATTTTTGTGGTCTTTTTTAGGTCCTATCGCATATTAGCGATTTGGCAGGATCGTAACTTTAACAGCCCGGTTGTTTGAAAAATGTGGGCGATAAAACTTATCGAGTTGCCACACTGGCTCGATTCCCACAACGTGTGTGCTGGTAAAAAACAAAAGCAATGGCCGTTGGCTTCGACATGTTCATCTTTTCCTCGGATGAGCGCCTCCGCCTCCGTCTCTCCGAACTGTTCAAATATGTATTGCTTTGCATATTTTATAAACTCCACGTGCTTTGTCAGACAACACTCACTGGCACACTCGCACATACACTTGCACACACTCGCAATTCGCGTTTGCTAACTCGATAATATTGATTGGTTAAGTAGAGCCAAGGATGTGCACGCAGAGGTGACTGGGATAACTATGCGAAAATTTGAACAAATTGGGGAACATGTGGTATTTGTTTTATATAGTTTTATTTTATTTTTTAATATTTTTGATTAGCTTTAAATTTCTATTAAAAGAATGGTGTTTAAAGCCAGAATATAAGCTAAAGAGATGTGTTTTCTATTAAGAAGTTATTTTGAGGTTAAAAAAAAGAGCACGCAAATATCGAAATAAAGTCTCATAGTCTAGCAGCTATTTTATATTTCTTAAATCATAGATAGACATTTTAATTCCCAGAAAATACAGTTAAAATATAAAAAGGGTATTTTCAACATTTTCTAGAAAAACCTTGGCTATTTTCCTTATATTTTATGCTTAAAGAAGTGACACATCTTCGCGGAAAAGTGCCAATTTAACAAGTTTGATTTATAGAAACCTTCAGCCAGATGGAATATCTTGAGTCACACAGTCAGTAAGCTTTCCTGGGGGGTCAGGATTGTTAATGTGAGCCATCAACTTACCATTTCGCAGGCTCCAGAGCCGCCAGCTTCAGTTCCTTGTTCGTGGTCCTTGCCATCGCGATAATCCTTTGTTCGCAGCTCAGGGGCGTTTAAAAACCAGCAAGTTTTTTGGTTCGTTTTTTTTTTTTCCAATTTTCACCTGTTTTGTGTTGTGTTGTGTTGTGTTGGTGTGTGTACTTGACAAATTGTTATTGCTGTTGTTTGCTGGTTGGTTGCTGGGTTGTTTACTTTTTACACACACTTTGGGGATGCTGATAAATTGCCCTTCGGTTGATCATTTCACATATGCATTAGACGGGGCTACACCACCACTCTTTGTTGTTATATGTTACATATGACCGCGACACATTGCCATTGGATTATGTGATTTCTTCCTTGCACTAAATGAATATTTAATATTTCAATTTCCGAGCGCAGCAGCAGGAGCAGCAGCCAAATGAGCAGCAAATGATAAAGGTTAAACAGGAGGCCAGGCAAGGCAAGGCTGTGTGTGTGTTTGGAAAACTGTTTTCCCCGCTTGGCCATTTAAGTCGCAGTGCCACCGCAGATCCGTTCGCATTATCAGCTTTTCGCCTAACCCTATCTTCCCCCTTACTGACGACGACCACGCCCCTTTGGCCGGGCAGTGTCTCAAGTGCGCCATTAGGCGTTTGTTAATGGCCTTTTACCGTTTTGCTGCTCATCTCTAAACGCCATGCAACGAGAGACACTTGAAAAAAAGTGAGAGCACTCGAAATGTTGGTTGGATTTTATGAAAAATTATGGAATCCGCAAACTAATCTGTAGGGGACAGTCTTAGGAAGAAGATAAAGGTTTAAGCTGGTAATATCTAAATATTGTAATTGGGTTTTTTAAAAGCGAATTTGTGTATTAGTTTCTATTTATGAACACTTTTAATATCACTGATATTCTAAAGTGTTTTTAAAGTACTTTCCTTGGCAAAAAACATATTCTTTAAATATATTATTATCATTTAAAAAAAGATAAGGTTTAAGGATATTTTTCTATATATTTTGTAAATAGTTTTAAGATTCTAAAATTCTGAAAAAGATATTACTAATACTTATGAATCTTATAGGCCACTGCTAACAATAAATTATGATTCTCATAGATAATTTTATAAAATGTTAAATCTGTTACTTAAAATAGTTTAAGCTTTGGAATGCCTTTAAATAATATAATTAAATTATATAAATACAACTTTCAGACTTCCTTATAAAATTTTTTAATCTTTTTTAAAGCCTTGTAGCTAAATTTTTAGTAACTTGAACATTTTCTTCATTATTAAGTATTTATAATGAATTATTTATAATTTATTTAGCATCAAATATACGTTTTTACATTCAATTGTAGAAATTCAAGGTTTTCCTTTTGGAACTTTTTGTATTTATTTATCGAATAATTCAAATAATTTCTTCCATTAAAAATAATCAATATTACAAATTGATTTAAAAAATGTTCTTATATTTTCCGATTTTACCAAAGATTTTCTTTCGCTGATTTTCCAGCCCAATTTTCCTTTCCAGTGCAGCAACAAACGCGCTTTAGACTCATTTAATATGCTTAATGACGTCATGTGTGCGCTGTTTTTAAGTAGCCTCCCACTTTTTGGTAGTATGTGTGTGTGTGTGTGTTAGTCCCTGTTTTTGGCTGTGTGTGTGCGTGTGTAAGCCCAACCCAACCCTGCATGCGACAATTCTCAGTTGGCTCTTCTCGGATATTGTCACTGCTGCCACTGCTGCTGCTGCCTTTAGCTTTTTTGCCATTTTGCTGGGTTTTGAGTTTTTTTCTTTCGTTTTTTTTTCTGCTGTTGTTTTGTTTTAGGGGCACTCCTCTTTTGTTGATTTCCAGCCTTCATTGTTGCGTTGGTCATTTGAAATGCAGATAGCCTTGGCCGGCCTCCTGCCCCCTGGCTCCATGCTGAATGCTCCTCCGCCCGAAAATAGACTCGCTTAACTCTTAACAAAACTGCGAATAATAGTTGTTTGAATGCCGTTAGAGCCTTGGGAGAAATCTCACTAACTTGGCCGAGAGAAAGAGCCAAAGGAGCACCAAGTCAAATGGTCTTTATTATTTCTTTTCAACTTTGTTTGGCATATACATATATGACCTCGAAACGAAGCTGATTTGGCAGTTCTTTATAGGTTTCCTTTTTTTGTTCATATGATTTTTTTTATATGTTAATAAAACAAAATGGTGCGGAAGTCTTTGAGTACTCAAATTATTAAGGATTTGTTGGCTAAGCGATTATGTTATATAAATTGTTTGCTGTATCTTTTGAGGCTGATAACTTTTTATTAAAATTAGCGAAGGAAATTCCTACTTAAAATTTTGAAAACCTATTTAATTGAAAAGGTAAAAGGATAGTTTGAATTTTAGCTTTTTTTTTAATCCTTTGTTAACAGCTTAATATTCTTATTTATTTAAAATTAACCCCTTTAACATTTCACACTTGCAAGTGGTTTTTTTTATACATAAATTTCGCTCAGAAGTGTTTAAGGTACTTGAAAAATTTATAAAATATTTCTACGAGCTTTTTTAAAATCAATTTTCATATAAAAAGCAATTATAAACATTTACATTTCCCTCAATTCAGATCAACTTTCAATGAAAACCTCTTGTTAACTGAAGCGTTATAAAATCTATTACAATTTCGATTCCGATTCCAACTAACTGCCCTGATTAGACCTCTTAAGATAATCTACTTTCATTAAAGTTCCGATAACAACTGGAGCGTATTAAAATGAATACATTATTCAAATTTCACTACACAACTCCTCACCAGACTAACTTTCCTGATTAAGCCGCCCCACAGAGAGAGAGAGAGAGGGAGTAGTCTACTTAAGAATTCCTTTTAAAGAACTCGTTTGCCAACTATTTTAACTTTCTACTACCAAGAAAGAACCTTTTGACCACGACACAATAAAGGATGGGTATGGGTGGCTTTATGTGCTGTGTTAATTAAATGCCCCAGACGCTCCTGGGGGAAGTGCATACTGTTAGCCAAGTTAGTTACACTGACCCCAAGACCTTTGAAAAACGGCTAAGCTAATCTGCTGGTCATGTAGCCGTCTTGGCCTGCCATTTAAAGTCACTTGGCTGACACAATCTAATGTTGGCTTTGCATGTTCCCTGGCTAGTGCTAACATGTCTTAGGTGGCAGCTGATTTGGCCCAAAAGACTATACTATATGGCCTAGCCCTAGCTTACACACAGTGTTGTGTTTCTTTTTTTCATATTTGGGTTTTTTGTTTAATTTAGCTTCGTTGTGTTATTTAAATATTTAGACACTCACACACACTCTTAAACTATTTCCACACACCACTCCTTTTTTAGTTGGGGAGCAAAAACTCCACTCCCCAGTCAGGTTTCTGTTCTTTTTGTTTGTATTTTTTTGTACTCTTTTTTTTATATTATATTCGTTTTTTTTTTCTTTTGTTATAGAGGAACTTCTGGCCGAATCCGAAACAAAGTCCGAAGAGTCACACAACTGTTTCTGAAGGATGACGTCCGTTCGGGAACAGCTTGAGCAACAAACTGTTGGCCAAAAGGATTTTTTGGTTTTTGGAGTCGGCCAAAGCTCGTGGCGGAGCTCGTGTTTGGGGCACGCTGTTGCTATTGGCAGTGAAAGCTTTTCCCTCCCCCATTGCATTTTCCCCCCTGTATGTGTTTCATGTGCCGCACACAGGACACGTGCGGAGCTTTTTAGCACGTGAGCCGTGTGTGTTTGATGCCCGGACCTAAACTGGCCATGTGGCTTGGCCTTTTCAAAAAAAAAAAAAAAAAAAAAAACCTTTCTCAACAAGTGGAAAGCTTTCAATTTGCTATTAATTAGCGACTGGGTCTACTAATTGAATTTCCATGGCCAAGACAGCTTTTTTGCACTGGCACTCTAATGCCTGCTACTCATAGTTTTTATTTTGTGTGGAAAAACTTTCGTAAAGTTTCAAATGCGCTCATTTTCAACCTGTTGACCAGTTTTGTGGGAGTCAGAGGGTGTGGGTGGTTGTGGGTGGGTGTGTGAGCTTCGTCCTTACACAGCAGCAGCAGAGACCTTGCCTTGCTCTTGAAAATGGCAGCAAGCACAGCAGAAGTCGGTTGAAATATTTATGCATGTAAGGTCATCACAGCTATTTGGCTGCACTCCGCTCAGCTGGCACTAAAAATAAGTCCATAAGTAGATATAAGTATAATTCGTATAAGCACACACACAGATATATTTTGCATAAAAAAAATACATACTTAAACTATTATTATTTATCATTTTTATATATACAAAATTACTTAGAGTATTACCTTAAATATTTGATCTCTTAAAAAATATATATTTAGGTAAAATATATCAAGATTATTTATTTAACTTTAAAATATAACGGTTAATATATTTCGATTTTTGGTATATGAAACAGGAAAGCTTTTCACAGCTTTTGGGAAATTGGTTTGAACATAAATTGTTTACGGTTGTAGCCTTTTTTACATTTGTTGCTGATGTTGTCCTTAAATTATCTTAAAACCTTAATTCAAATATATTTCTATATTTAAATCAAATCACCCGAAAAAATCTAATATTAAAAGTTTTCGTTATTTTAATCTATATGACATAATTGTATAGTTTAAATAAATTTAAAATCGAAATTCTGCAAAAATTTTGATAGTCGTGTACACGATAATTGAAAATCTGCTGGACCAATCACTTTGAAATTTGGAACATACTTTTTAAACTAATTCTAGAGGTACTCACTTCGAGATTTTTGTTATTTAAATATTATTATATTTTTTATTTAACAAATTAACTTAATTTCTTAGTCAATTATCGGGGTTTAGACTTCCTATTTTGCTAAAAAATCTGAAAAAAAAATTTAAAAAATAAAAAAGCCACTTGAGTACCTCGGGACACTTATCTTTTAACTAATGCAATATTATTTTTTTGAAATCGGATGTTTTTGTAGACAGTTAGGATGTATACTGAAAAACAACTTTTTTTTGAGGGGCTCAGGAGATTCCTTATTAGTCAGAGAACTGTAAATATATTTGAATACAACAATTTAAAACAAAATTGTTCAAATGTTGTGTTATTATATAGTATTTAATTCATTAAGCTAACTTCACAACATTTTTTAAAAAGTGTGCAGTTTGGCATCGAAATAACATTGCCCCTAAAAGAGGGCTCCAAAAACCGGAAGTACATCGATAGTGAAGTACATCGTTGCTTAAATAAATATCGATAGTTGGTGGTTCGAATATCCGGTGTGGATTTTTTAGGTGATTTTTTTCAACTTTTTGAGACTTTTTAGGGTAAGAGCCAAATTTGCATCTGGTATCACTGTTTTTAGCACCTGTTTAAAATAAAAAAAGTTACCAACGAATACGGACGTGTGTGGGTGGTGCTCCTCCGCGCGAACGTGAATCTTATCAACACAACAATTAAAAATACGAAAATTTGCAGTTTTTTGGAAAACTATACAATTTATTAATAATAATTCATACCGTTTAAGCCCTTGCTTTGTTAATTGTCTGCAATCAAAACAACCAAAAATCACGACCACGAAAAAAAAATCAGTTAAAGACGTTGCCAACGTTTCGCACGCGTACAATTACAGTTAACAAAATAAAAAACAACAATTAATAAACCACAATATTTGTGCGGAAAATGGTACTTGAGCTGAGTGAAAGTGCCAGGAAATTATAAAAAATAATAGGAAATCGGGCGATTTTAAGCAATATTTTTGTGCAACTACCTGTTCTGCAACAAATACAACTACAAATACATACAAAATCGACAACAACAACAAATACTAGCGAGCATCTAACTGTTGCGCTCTGCCGGCTCTCTTCGTGTCTCTCTCCCCCGCGTCTGCGTCTGTGTCGCGTGTGTGGGTGTGTGTGTGCTGTTGTTCAATTGCTATTGTTGTTGTTGTGGCTTTTCGCCAAGTGCAATTATTCGTTTCTTTTGTTTTTTTTAAACAAATTAATGTCCCGCTAAACGTTTTGGAAGTCGTCTCTGCGCACCGCTGCTCCAATTGGATATACGCAAATATATATTTTAACAGGTGCGTGGCCCCAAAAACTAACTGTTTTGCCTAAAAGCGGCTGCTCATTAGCACAAATGCGAAATGGGGAAAAACAAGAAAACCAGAATAAGGTGGAGAATTTAAGAAGGAGTTAAAGGAGGGGAACAAATTCAAAAGAAAATGTATAGTTAGGTGAAAAACTGGTTTTAAAGTTTTAATCTCAGGAATAGAAAAAGTATATGGTTTTAAAATTTTATTAATTATTTATTTTTTGTTAGTTAATAGATATTTCTGTGATGCGTATTTTGGATAGATTAAGACAAAGATTTTTAAAATAATTTTTGAGTGACGTTAAATTAAAAAAATAACTTAAGATTAAACCATATTAATAATAAAGCAATTTACAATTTTGGAGATTATTTATATTTAGTTTTTAATTTTTATATATGTATTTTCCTTTGCTTTGAGGTGATATAATATCAAGTGAACCTGTTTATACCTTTAATAGTTTCGATTAAATGCATTGTTTTTTATTTTGATATTTAAAAGAGTAAGACAAACCTTTAAAATATAAAATATACATAATATGTTGAATATTATTCAACAATTTCTTATATATTTTCCTTTGATTTGAGGTCATATAATATCATGTATCAAGTGTTTATACCTTTAATAGTTTCGATAAAAATTTAAGACAGACCTTAAAAATTATTCTCATAATTTATATACTTTTATTTCACTTATATCTATTTTTATCGTATATTAACCATAATATAATTACTAAATTCGAGACAAACAATTTATAGTTTCCCAGAATTTGAATAATAAATAGCAAGCCGGTATTTATCAATTAGAATTATTAATGAAGTCATCATGTTAATGAATACTTCTTCCAATTAAACGGATATTTATTGACTTGAAGCTTGTGGAGCTCTAGTATATGTTTATATATTATATACATACAAATATTTAGAGAGGTTTTCTAGTATCACCTATAGTACTTTTATTATATTCATAGTAATCACATAAATCCACGAACCCGTCTATAAATCTTCTCCCATAGTTGTCACGCATTATTCTTAACAATATTGATTCTCAAATGTCATTCTGATATAGCTTTGTATGAGAAGACATTTGGGAATTTCCTTTCATTTTCTTTTTACTTTATTTTTCCAGCAATTAAGTAAACGACTTTTGCTCATTTCTTTATTTATTGTGTTTTTTGTGTGTGTTTGTGTGTGTCTGAGACAGTTGTAACATTTTCCACGAATGCGAAAATTCGCAATTGTTTTATTTGTTGATTTTTTCGTACTCCCCCTGCCTTTCTGTGCTTTTTTGTTTTTGTTATTGTTTGAGCCAGGTTCGTGCCAGTCGGAGACATCGTTGACTTTTTGTTTGGTTTATTTCGCAGTTCAGGCTTTTTGTTTCTAGTCTCTTGTGGTTTTATTTTTGGAGCTTGAGGAAGTTAGGCCACCGATTAATTAATCGAAGTGCCACCAGGCAGTGTCAACTGCTTCCGGACCACCTGCCTTATCTGTATTCCGTACAGGATGCAGCCAGGATACAACAGCCTTGCAAGTGGCTCATCTTGCCCTCAAGTGGATATCTTCTCGTAATCTGAGATCCACTTGAATGGGAAAATCCGCAGAGGCAGCTGTTTCCTCTTCCCTCCTTTTGGGTTGCATCATGCTGCACTTTGTAATTTGATATTTTGGTTTTTTTGTGTGTGTGTTTTGCTGCTCACTCATTTCCCCTAAGTGTATTTTGGCCTCTGTTTAACATGGCTTAGAGCCATTTCCCTCCCGCTCTAACGGTTCTCTCTAGACATTTGCACTCTGAAAAGTCTGCAGAAAAACAAGACAACAATACCGGCCAGCAAAAAAACAAAACAGAAATAAATTTTGCTGCTGCTTGGAATATTTTGCCTTGGCACAGTTATGTGGCTTTGGTTATGCTTTTTTTTGGCTTTTGTTTTCTTCATTTTGTTTTGTTTCTTAATTTTTTTTTTTTTTTTTTTTTGGAAGAGTGCAATGCAGTTGGGGTTGTCTTAAATGTTCCTCATTTAATTTACAAAAACCCCTTTAAAATTTGTAACCCCTGAAATTTTTTACTTAACAAAGAAACCTTAAAATATCAATTAGCAAAAATAATAAATTTAAACTTTTACTAAATTCTGACTTATTTATAAATGCATAAAATATATACAATCTATTTTAAACATTAAAAATCGTCAAAACGTATAATTTACCTTAATTCATGGCCACAAATTCCCTTTCAAATTGACACAAAACCTAATTAATAATTTAATTATTGTATTGAGAAGCCTTTTACAAAAAAATCATTTTAAGCTGAATGCAATAAGTGCAAAACTCAAATAAAATAAAAAACGTACCTTAACATTAAGTATAATTAATTGCTTGAACTTCAATTCGACGCGTTTCAAGGTAAACAAGTTGAAATACAACGATTTCGTATATACACTTTTTTCAGTTTTATTTCACTTGGTTTTTTGTTTTGTTTAAAAACAAGGCAACAAGGAGAACTCGTGCCTGTGGCTTTTGTTGTTATTTTTATTGTGTGCCAAAAGCTAAACAAGAATGAAAAGAAAAGAAAAAGCAGAGAGAATTGAGTTGTGTCAGAAGCCTCTTTAAATTGGGGGGTGAGAAAAGCTCGGCCGAAGGGGTTGATTGAGTGGCTGATTGAAAAGGCAGATGACGTCGTCAATTGAAATTTAATTGGTTTCAACAGCAACCTGAAGAACTCGTTGATCGACCGACACACTGACTGAGTGAATGAACGAATGGATATGGAAATGAAAATGCATTCAAATGCCATTCAATCAAACTGGGTCAAATGCCGCCCCTTCTTCCGTTTCTTCCACCTGTGTCGACGGTTCAATGCACCGAAAATAAGAAGAAGCCATCAAAAAGTGTGTGTTTTCTTTTTAATTGCTTTGAAATACACTGTTAAAAATAAAATACTAAGTGTTGTTCATCAATTGATTCAACTCAAAACTTTTAGATAAACAATTTTTCATATTTTAAAATGCATAAATGTTTTTCTTTAATTTTTACAAAGTTTTTTTTATAACATTTTGATGTAAAAATGTAGTAACAAACTTTAAACTTAAATAAAATAATAATTTAATTTAAAATTGTACAATTAAACCAAGGTTTCCCAACATGTTCAAGCCCTCTTATTTATTTTTGCACAACATATTTCTACAAATTTGTACCTCATTTTTTCTCAGTGTTATAAGTAAGGAAATGCCCTACCACATTCGGTTCTTGTACCTTTTTGAAGAGCCCGCATTTGGCCAAAGTAAATAATTGTGGTAAATGAAAAAATGCATTGCAAACACACGAAAAGAATTCAAAAGTGAGAAGACTGTGGGGGTAGAGTGTGTGTGGGTGTTCAGGGGGGGTGGAGGATGTGGAGGGACTGCCACAACTTGAAACAGGTGTCGCATTTTATGACAGTCGGTTTCCCTTTGTTTTTTGTATTTCTTTATTATTATTGTTCTGTGCGGTTGTGTCTGTGTGTGTTTTGCTTTTCATCTTTTTTGTTGCCGGTGCATATCTCAGACACATACAGCTACAGATTAAATGTCTGGGATAGACTTCCGTATTTACCTTTTCGCTAAATACATTAACTAGGGATTGTTTGTTGTGCTTGAGTAAATTTTGAAGCTTAATTGTTGAAGCATGAAAATTATTTTTATAATATAAAAACGAGTGATCGATAAATATCGATCTTTAGATGTTTCTTCAATAAATCATACTAAATCTTTACTTTCTCTACTCTTTCTTCGATAAATCATATAAATATAAAAACAAGTGATCGATAAATATCGATCTTTCTTCCTCTTTCTGCTATAAATCATTCTAAATCTTTACTTCTTTGAACAATCCACAACTTATCTTCCTGCATGCCATATATAGAACCATTTCTCAAATGCTTTTAGCTTGATCAGAGTTTCTTTTGCCACTTTATCCTGACCTGCCCCAGTCTTCCCTTTAGAATACCGTAGACGCGTCTACTGAATCTGCCTGCCAAGTCTAACTCCATCCATTTCTTCAGCTCTTTCCTATACTATATAGTACTATTCCGTTAAGTAGGGACCGGCACGCCCGCCTCATTATTCATTCAGCAAAGGCATTCACCAAACTCTTGACGTGGAATTTTTCGCTCTTTTGGATTCTCCACGGGTCTCTGTCTCCTCGTTGGCTTCCGCTTTCTCTTGGTGGGCGCCCAGGAGAATTTTAAGCTGGCGGGGAGGAGGAGCACAAATTAGCGGGAACTGCCAGCGAGGCATTCACCGAATCAGAAATAGAGTGTAAACGAGAAAGAAAAGAAAAAGATATGGGGAGGGGATATAGGGAGGGGAGGTATAGGGTGTTTTCTCCATAGGTGCCGACAGTTGGCGGCATAAAAATAAATTCCCAGATATAAAACAAAATATGTCAACATAGGCGTAAATGAGATTTGTCTTTTAGTTGATTCAGATGTTAGGAAGAGTAACTAATTGGTTTTAAAGTATGGTGTATGTGTTATATAGGGTGTGAGTTTTAGTGTTATTGGGCTTAAGAGATCAACTTTTAAAAATGTAAAAATCTTTGAAACACTTTCAGAACCAGTTTGATGTTGTTTGGACTCTAATTAAGTGATGTTTGCGAAATGGAATAGGTTCTTGAAATGTTTGGTAATTTTTCAGAATTTTTCTATATTTTTTTAATAGTTTTTCGTTCCCTATAGTTTTTGTCGCTTTTCTATTTGTTAAATTCCCCCACGTTCCCCTTCATTTCACTCCCTCGAATGACCCAATTTTTCCTATTCAAGTGTTGTAACATAAATTTTCCTCTTTGTTTTTCCAGTCTGTCCCTGCCAACCATTTGGCGATTCTCGAATCGCCGGTCGCCAGAAAGAGTCTTCTGGGAGTCGCTTTGGCGATCATTGGTGAAATAATTTTCGAGAATCCCGAAGAAGAGTCTTCTGGGAATCGCGGTGGCGATTGTTGATAGACTTATTTACGAAAATCC